AGTTTTCCCTGGCAGAGGATTGCAGGAGACTATTGCAGCCGGAAATGGCACACGCCCCCCCCCTTTTTTTGGGAACATATTTTATTAATTTTTAAAGACAGACAAAACATCATTAAACATTGAAGACATAAAACCTCTTTCTATTATAAATTTTTACAAGGCAGATAAAACATTATTTTATACAATATAGTTCTAATATATCCCATTTCCACTTAAATATCTTTTAACAGATTTCTCATTGTTTCTCTTTGCTCTTATTCAATTACATTTCTTTTCTATATTTATCCATTTTATAATCATCATATTCATATTTCCCTCTGTCTTGAATTATTCTCCTCTAGCTTTCCTCCAAGGTTTTATTAAATCTCAAACAAACATAAACACACAAAACACAGAAACATAAAACTTCTTTTTAAAAAGTAGCTTGGCCCCAGATTACCTCTCTTTATATGGACTTCAATTAAATTTATGCTCATCATATATACCATTACCTATCTTATTTACCATTCTATATCTTCATTATAACTTCTCCCCGCTTTCCACTCTTCTTTATTCTATTTTATTTATTTCATCTTAATTTAAATCATTATACTTGTATCTTTTGTCCATTCTTTTCCAATTATCCATTTATCTCATTCCCTATAGTAGAAAAAAAAAAAGATTTCTCCTGAAATCACTAATCGAAGTATGATGCCTTTCCATCGCTCCCCTAAATTAACATTTAAGGTAACACCTGGTTCCCTATCTGATTCTGCTTAGTACATTCTACCTACTAATTTTTATAAATCTATAAAGTAATTAAATATATAATTGAACATTAAATCTTATAACATTCCAATTATCTATTTCACAAACAAGTGCTACAATAATAAGTTTATACTAACATCCACACAATAGTCAATTAAACTCTATACTTAAACTAAATATTTTAAACATTCCTTTTAATATTTTATTAAATCTTAAAATCTATCATTATTAAACCTTTAATGTTTTAATCTTTACTTAAGTCTTATAAAATTCTAATTTTCTATTTCTAATACAAATACTACAATACTATCTTATGTACCTTGCAGAATCCTTTTGAAAAAAAAAATTATACATTACCCTTTATCCCTAAAAAAAAATTTCTTTTTCCCATCTTGTTTCATACCTTTGTGGCTTTCCCCCCCCTTCTTCCTTCCTGTCTTATCCCATCTGGTCTTTTTACCCCCCCTACTCCTAACCTCCTCCTTTTTAGCTTCCCCTCTCTGTTGTATTTCTCTTTTCTTTTGCTTTCTAACATTGTATTGATTTTGCATCTTATTTTTCTCTTTCTTGGATGTTTTTTTAAGTCTTAAGTCCTTTTTCCTTCCTCTCTTTCTCCTTCCTTTCTTAATCAATTTTTTGGATTCGTTAAAGATGGCTTCTTCTTCTTCTTCTTCTTCTTCTTCTTCTTCTTCTTCTTCTTCT